CCCCAAAACCCCAAAACCCCAAAACCCCAAAACCCCAGGGATTTAGATTTTCAATTAAATTGAGAGTAATTAAAATAAAATTCTTAAATGGCATTTGTATTCTTATCTGAGAAAACTAATTAGAACAATTAGCTCTTCCCTCCCTCGAAAGACTCACAGTTCTTGAATAATTAAGTAGCTAAGATAGATCATGAAAGCCCTTGTCTTGGACAGTACGATATTCCAAATCAATCCTCTGTTCTAAAACAAAGCCTTTCAGCTGTATAAAAACCCTTTGGCTCTACTATTGAAAAGACTTCTCCTGAGAAATTAAATGGACATAAGAATACATCTCCAGGACCTGGCTAATATAGTCTTCCTACATAGTTTAAAAAAAGTCAAGCATTCTAGGATATTTATGAACCTGGTACATATTATATCCTTGAAGAAAATTAAATTAAAAGAAGAGTGCAAGGATATTTGCCTTAAGATGCCATTTAAAATATAGATCCATTATCAGGTCCAGTTCCTCTCAGAAACCCTACAAAATAATCTTATTTTGAGGTTTTAGTTAAAGAGCATGAATTGGTACCTGGTCCAGGGCGTTATAACTTACGAAAAGATGAAGATAAAACTTACTAAAAACTAAACAAAGATTCAGGATAACTATAACTCAGATCGAGAACCAAAAGTTAGCTTAAATTAAGAGACCTAGTATTACATGAGTATATGCAAATAAAAAAAGAAATAAATCAGGTTGTTAGTCCAGCATCATATACTCCAAGAGTTGGTATAGAAACCCAAAAAGTAAGAAAATATAGTATTATCAAATTTAATAGGGTACAGGGTGGGGTGTATCAAAGACTTAAAGAAAGACTATTTTTGATAAAGTCGAATAAAACCCTACTTAGCCTAATGAAGATTAATAGACATTTATTGATCTCAGAAAGGAGAGACAAGAATAAAAGCAGCTGAAAAAATCATAAAGTGCTACGCTATTGAAAACCAAACAGAAATATCCGTAGAAAAGTGCAGCTATTTAAAGAGATTTCGTAGATCATGAAAATAGAGATGAAGTAAGATTAATCTAGCTATATTCATAAATTATAATAGTTTATTTCAGATGAAGATGAAAATTTCCCAGGTCCAGGGCAATACTATAATCCTAGCATTTAAACTGGTTTTAAGAAATAGCAAAAAGAAGTTCAGTATTAATACTTCGGCTCTACATCTCAAAGATTTATGAGTGCTATCCCTATAGGACACAACAAGACTGTGATAAAATAAAAGGTAAATCACACTGATATGAATAATCTTGGTCCTGGAACTTATGATCCCGATCCAAGTTAAGAGAGATAAAATTTCTTTTAAAATTACACTTCAAGTTTTGCGTCTAAAAGAACAGCTTTGGATGTATTCTCCTCATCTTAAGCACCAGCATCTCTAAATACTCAAAACTTTACTTATATTACTCAATCAACAGTAAAGAAGAAATTCAATCATGAAAGCAATTAATCTGATAAGTAGAGCTTAGTACCTCCAGCTCCTGGTACTTACAATCCATTTAAATCAGAATTTGATACATTTCCTGCTGATAACGATAAATTAAACATTCCGAGAGAAGAGAGATTCAAAATCTATGATTAATAATTCTTAGAATAGAGACAAAGCCCACCACCTGGAGCATATATTAAAGATAAACCTGTCTCTAAGAAAGAAAAAGGATATTCGATATTTAAATCTAAGACTGCTAGAACAATGTTAACTACTGTTTAGTTAAATGAAAACAAGGAAATCTAAAAAAACCCATTGCTAGAAGTAAAAGATGATGTAATTGAGAAGAAAAAGTTAAGGTTCAAAGAAATCTATTCAGACTTTTTTAAACAAGGCTAGGGAAAGAAAGAGGGATCCATTTGTCTAGAGAATTCAGTTCCTAGTATAATGAGTTCACATCCAATGGAGCAGTTGTATCTTGAAAAGATACAAGAGCAATAAAGGCTGAACAATAATTTCAAGCCAATACCTAAGGAAAAGAATCAACAAAGTTTTGCAAAGGTTGAGAGATTCAAAGAGGATCAAACTCAAAAAATGAAGAGTGGTACTTTGACTGATACTGATCTCGCCAAAGTAAGGCAAGAATACTAACCTGGTCCTGGCCATTATAGTAGAGTAATGCCAGATTGGAATAAGAGGAGTTTCAACTTGAGATTTGTGAATGAAAAGCATTAATGATTTGATAATAATTATACTTAAATACTGATAAATTGATGTTAGAATTAATTTCATAAATTGTTGGCATTTTTACATTATGAAAGCAGTTCCGATACCTTTTAAGTATTCCGAATGAAAGTTTTGAAGTTAGAGGGTATTTTCCCAAGTATTCTTTATTGTCTATAGAGGAAACTTGGCCGATTATGAGAAACTTTACTGTTGCTGTGATTTTAATCCTGAATTGGTTCATCAAATATCTTTACTGTTTAATCAATTTCACTAGGCTAATTAACTTATTAATCATTTTGTTCTTTCTAATTTTGTTCTGGTTCTAACACAGAAACACTCTGAACTTTGATCATTTTATCTGGTTAGTTTCCGAACTAGAATAGTTAAACTTTAGGACTATCAAACTCTGAAACCTTTTTGCTGTATTATTCATTGAAACTATCCTCGCTGCTTTGATCTTCTCTTATCATCATGCTTTAAAATTACTTCCTTGTGTTTTATCTAGTCAGCATCCTCCGGTTGTTTAAAGGAGTTTTTTTATTAATCTTCTTCATAGTCTCTTGGATCGGATCGAACCCAGATTATTCCCTAATGCTAGTTTAGTAGACAGTTCCTCCATGAACTGATTTGTACTACTATCTTCTTTGGTAGTAGCTTTACCTTCTTTGAAAATGCTATGTTGTCTTATGATCTGGAGATTGGTCAATTACTTTTGAAAAGTTAATTTAAGATGCGTTTTATTTTAGTAATGACACCGAATGATTAGTGGGTAAGTAACTTATACCGAACCCTACTTGAGATTTTGAACTTGCATCTCTTTACAACTTTTAAAGCTAGTTTTTATTTGTCATTGCAAAATCTGTAAATGTTTACCCGCTTCTCATTGTAGCAATTTTACTAGGAGATCCTGGAACTGGTATCTTATTTTAACTTTTTGAGCTATGCAATAAGTTTTTATTCTGATAATACTAGGCTGCCAAAAAATTTGAAGTAGTGTTTTCGAATTCTACTCCATCTTTTAAGCCTTTTATTGGTAGATTCTTTAGAGGGATTATCTTCTCATCATGACTTTGAAATTAATTGCTCATCTTAAGAGATTTAATTTTGTTGAACTGAGGTAAACTAGTTAATGATTTTCTGTGAGTGGGACTATTCTTAGTAGTTTATTATGTTTCTTCCACTAGAGTGCTATTATTTTCAATCGATCTTTTTTAGAATTCCAAATGCTTTTGATGAATTTATTCATACAATCTCTACTTTTGCTCTTCTTCAAGTCTAGCATAAGCTCGGTACTATTGATCATAGCTGGGAAGATCTTTAATCAATGTCTTTTAGAGTTTTCTAGCTACATTCTGAGGTATCTTAGCAAAAAGTGAAAGTGTAGCTTAATCGTAGTTCTGAGCGATAGACTGATTTTGACTGGCAGCAGGAACTTCGATACCGGGATTGTTCAGCTTGCTTTGCTGTATCCTATGCTTTTAAAAATCTATGAAACTCTTATTCCTAACTTCAAGACCTTGCCTTTACTACTTGATGAATTTGATGGTGGTTCTTAGTTTATCAGCTGTTGAATTCAGTTCAACTATTTACAACTGATCTTGCTCATACTTTGCTATCAATGGATATTTGTTAGGTGACATTTTCCTCTTGAATACTTACTGAGTTAATCATCTACTAGGCAGTGAGTAACCTTTAGAGTAATTAGAAGTGAATTCATCTTTAATTTCAAAGTGATCTGTTGAAGTTTTTCTTGTCAAAGGAATGCTGAGGAATTTTGATAGGTCACTCATTAAAAAAATTAGAGCAATTATTTAACAAATTAAATTTTGTGAAAGTTAATGGGGCTTAGAAACTTAATGTATATAATAAAAGAATGTCATTAATATTAATTCTCTTATGTATTTTTTTATTGAACTCACTCTAATTTTCTATTATAAGAATTATGGGGTTTTGGGGTTTTGGGGTTTTGGGG